GTGAGCGTGTTAGATAGGAGTGAATGGAGACGAATGGTACTTGGGACATGACGATCTGTTGGAGTGTGAGCAGGGTAATATTTAGTGAAGGGATTCAGGGAAACCGGTTATTTTCATATAGTCGGACTTGAGTCCTGGAAATGGGAAGTACAATGCCTGCACTTTAAAGGAGGGGTTTGGGATATTGGCAGTTTGGAGGGATATGTTGTGTATCTTATATGTATTTAAACTTCTAGACTGTTGTAAATTTTGAGCACCTCTGCAAAAACAGTGATAATGTGCTGAGTTGGGTGAAAGTGTTGAATGATGATGAAAGTATTTTCTTTTTGGGGATTTTCTTTCTTTTTTGGGTCACCCTGCCTCGGTGGGAGACGGCCGACTTGTTGAAAAAAAAAAAAAAAAAAAAAAATATATATATATATATATTAATATATTATAAATATATATATACATTAATATATTATATAATATATATCATATAAATAATAAAATATATATAAATATATATAATATGTAATATATAATATAATTATTATATATATTATATATATATATATATATATAAATATATATATATATATATAATATATATATATATATATATATATAATATATATATAATATATATTATATAAATATAATATATAATTAATATATATATATATATATAATATAATATATATATAATATATATATATATTATATATATATAATATATATATATATATATAATAATATAATATATATATATATATATATAATATATATATATATATATATAATATATATATATATAATATATAATATATATAATATATATATAAATATATAAATATATAATATATATATAAATATAATATATAAATATATATATATAATATATATAAATATATATATATATATATATATAATGTTTAATGTTTTTTTCTGTAAATGTATTTTGTTTATTAATAAATGTTCACATAGAATATAAATATAGGGTGGTAGGAGAATAAAATATTCAAACAGCTCGGGGAGAACTTGGTTTTCCCTGAGTACTTTAATGTGGGTTCCTGAGGATGAGGGTCCCCATTCCAGCTATAGAGGTGGTACTTCCTATATTTAAGTATATATATATATTATACTATAATATATATATATATATATATATATATATTATATATATATATATATATATATATATTTATGGATATATATATATATATATATATATCCTATGATATATATTATATATAAAAAGAACAAAATGTAGAGAGAATGGAGCAAAACAGAAAATATTATCAAGAGTGTAATCAGTACTGTAGTGAAGGAAAGGCGGGGTAGGGTCGGCCTTAGGAAGGGTTGGTAGGGAGGGTAAAGAGGTTTTGTGTGCGAGAGCTTGGACTTCCAGAGGCATGCTGAGCGTGTTTATAGGATGAATGGAGACAAATGGTTTTTAATACTTACGTGCTGTTGGAGTGTGAGCAAAGTAAACATTTATGAAGGGATTCAGGGAAACCGGCAGCCGGACTTGAGTCCTGGAAGATGGAAGTACAGTGCCTGCACTCTGAAGGAGGGGTGTTAATGTTGCAGTTAATAACTGTATTGTAAAGCACCTTTCGGGCAAGACAGTGATGGATGTGATGTGAAAAGTTTTTCTTTTAGTCACACCCTGCCTTGGTGGAATCGGCCGGTGTGATAATAAAAAAAAAATATATATATATATATATAATATATATATATAATATATATATATATATTATATATATATATATATATATATATATATATATAATATTTATTTTTTTTTTTTTTTACTTTTTTAATATTTAATGCTATATATACTATTTTTTAAATAGATGTATTTTACCCAGGGAGGTATTACTGTCCTGCCAAGTGAGTGTAAAACGAAAGCCTGTACTTGTTTTACATGATAGTAGGATTGCTGGTGTCCTTTTTTCTGTCTCATGAACATGCAAGATTTCAGGTACTACATCTTGCTACTTCTACTTACACTTAGGTCACACTACACATACATGTACAAGCACATATATACACACACCCCTCTTGGTTTTCTTCTATTTTCTTTCTAGTTCTTATTCTTGTTTATTTCCTCTTATCTCCATGGGGAAGTGGAACAGAATTCTTCCTCCGTAAGCCATGCGTGTTGTAAGAGGTGACTAAAAATGCCGGGAGCAAGGGGTTAGTAACCCCTTCTCCTGTATAAATTCTTTTTGGGCAACCCTGCCTTAGTGGGATACGGCCGGTTTGTTGAAAAAAAAAAGACATATACTTTGTAATTGTTATTGTATTATTTTTTTTTTTTACTATTTTGGTCTTCTAAGGCTATATTTATATAATGAATACTTGTAATATGACAAGTGTAATACTAATCAAGAGTGTATTACTAATTAAAACATGGAAATAATTCATATATAGTTTGACTTTACTGGGTTATCCTAGGATTATACTTAGTGTGCCTTGTGGCTGAATTTAATTGTTAGTATTATGAAATTGTAAAAAATTTGGACTGAACAAGTCATCTTTCAGTCACTTACTTACCTAGTTTGTTGGTGGGGAAGCTGGTTTAACTTTGCTAGTGAGGTGTACTAGTATGTAAGACATGTAGTCATCCCCTGAGTAGTTAACCATGATACACTGTATGTACCCAGCTGGCTTTAGATTTTTTTTAAATGAATGAATAGAGGGAAGAAGACCCAAAGAGTTGACCTGAGGTAAAAAATATTGGCAGTTGGCAGATTTGTGAGTACGAAAAATGGTGCTTACTAACACATAGGACGCAGTACCAGCACCTGCATGTTAGTAAGTTGGACACGGTAAAAGGGTTAACACAATGGCCATCTCCCATCAAGGCAGGGTGACCCAAAAAAAAAGAAACATAGATTTTTTTTTTTTTTTTTACATTTAGTAATTTATACAGGAGGAGGAGTTACTAGCCCCTTGCTCCCAGCATTTTAGTCGCCTCTTGCGACACGCATGACTTATGGAGGAAGAATTCTGTTCCACTTCCTCGTGGAGAAATATTATTATTATTATTATTATTTTTTTTTCAACAAACCAGCTGTATCCCACCAAGGCAGGGTGGCCCAAAAAGAAAAACGAAAGTTTCTCTTTTTAAATTTAGTAATTTATACAGAAGGGGTTACTAGCCCCTTGCTCCTGGCATTTTAGTCGCCTCTTACAACACACACAGCTTATGGAGGAAGAATTCTATTATCATTATTATTATTATTATTATTATTATTATTATTATTATTCCCAGCAATACAGCCATGTGCATATACTGACATCTTTGTCAGAGTTCATAGGTTTGAACCTAAAGTATAAACACATACACATTATCAGTTCATTTGTGCATGAGTATGGCTTTTCACGATCAAACATTATTATTTTTGTTATTAACACATCACCCATTTCCTACTGAGGCTATTATCAAGCAAAAAGAGATAATAAAGAATATTAAAGTGGCTGATGAATCTAAGCTAGTGAAAAAAAGCAGTGAGGTTATCGTAGAGATAGAAGAATCTATTATTGTGAATAAGAGAGAAGATGAAGAGAGATACAGTGCCTGTGAGTTATAGCTGTGAGCATGCATATCTAAGGTACAGTAAAAGTTTCACTTTCTGAGTCCTGGAATGAATTACCAAAAAATTTTGTATCTTGGGGTTTGAGTTACAATAGTATGGAGGTATGGTTCATCTTCTGGAATGAATTAATATCATAACTCAAGGGACCACTGTATATCTTGTGTCTTACAAAGCTTGTGAATTTTAGAGTTGTACTGTATCAATGTTCTAATTGCATGTCCTTCCGTAAAACATGATAAAGCTCATACCTAAGTGAAAAATTGTACAATGATAGCTCATCTAAGTAGGTATATTTGTCTTACCTGATTTATCGCCAGTTTGTCTGTCATTCCAAATTAATTAGTGCAGTACAGTACTACCTTGACTTATGAGTGCCCCTACTTACGAGTTTTCCGAGTTACGAGCTGTCGCTTGGTCGATTTTTTGCTTTGAGTTGTGAGTCAAAATTCGAGTTACAAGCGAGCTTCAGATACGCTGCCACTAGTTGGCACAGCGAATGCCACAACATCTGCCCAGCATCCCAGTGTTTTGTGCTTTTTGTGCAGTTTTGCCAAATTTTTTTTTCTAACCATGGGTCCTAAGAAAGTAAGTGCAAAGGACAATGATGAGGAGAAGAAGAGAATGATGTCCATTGAATTAAAGCATGAAATCATGGAAAAACACTAGAAAATTGCTTTTATTTCAGTGTTTTCCTTATGAAATTAGTGATCTAGTGCAGTTAGCCTCACAAACACACTGTTTCTCTTATAGTAAGACCTCAGAAGGGTAAGAATGAGAAGATATGGTCAGAGCGATAATTATTTTTACCTTGGGAGTGGCTGCCACCACTTGTCACATAATAACATATTTTATTCATTCTACAGTATATATAGTGTTTCTTTGCTATTTATATTGTTTATTATGTCATATTTCATCAGTTGTGATAGATAAATAAGCCGTAGAGTTGATATTAGCTTCATATTGAAGTATTTTCTCCTGTCTCTTGAGAGCCAGGAATTCTGCTGCAGTGGAATAATGGCATTTCAATTAATTTCAATGAGGAAAATTGATTTGACATACTGTACGAGCAAATTGAGTTACAAGCTCCGTCACAGAATGAATTAAACTCGTAAGTCAAGGTACCACTGTATTTGCTTATGGATAATAATAAACTTACACATGTTTATAAAACTACATATGAGAGACTTTTTAGAATATGTGATTGCTTGCCAGATTAATTAAGCTGTGATGGATATATGGGGCTGTGGGCCACCAGCAGCAACAGCCTGGTAGACCAGGTAAGCACCAGATGAGTAAAAAACTCTTGGAACTCATCAAAGGTATAAAGGTTGTAAAGGGTAAATATGCAGGTATATCATATTACTTTATCTTACCTGTAAACTGCTGAAAGCATTATTTATTCTTGTGTCACAGATCTGGGACAGTAAAAACTTGTCATTACTGGGAATCCTTCGGGGTCATCGGAGAGGTGTGTGGTGCGTCCAGTTCTCACCTGTGGATGAGGTCCTGGCCACAGCTTCTGCTGATGCCACCATCAAAATCTGGACTTTATCAGATTTTAGTAATGCTGCTGTAAGTCTCTTTTAGAATATTAAATGGCTGAAGCTTTATATGCTTAATTACTGCATGACTTTGTAAATGGTCCAAGTCAAACCGAAATGTGGTCATAAGTTTTCTCTCTCTCTTGTGTGGGTTATTTGTATAATGCTTAATTACTTTTATGGTTATATATTACATTATCCACATAATTTTATCAAGTAGATTATTTTAACTAGAAGTTTTGATTATGTCTGTGTTCACATAAACTCTCATAAATAGAAATATTAGGGCTATTAGGCTATTAGGGCTATTGTTTGTAAAACCAGTATTAGTGACTGCACTTTTGTTTTTCATCTTTTTGACTGCCTTTCCATCAACAAATGCTGCTGACTAGCATACCTTGCAGACTTATCTCAGTGAAATCAAAGATGCAGCTCCAAGACAATTTATTCTGTATACAGGAAACCCCCAGTTTTTGTAATTAATCCGTTCCAGAAGGGTGGCCGAAATCCGAAATGGCCAAAAACCAAAGTAATATTTCCCACAAGATATATTGTAAATCCAATTAATCCGTTTCCAACACCCAAATATATTAACGAAAAATACATTTTATAGAGAATAACTATAGTCTTACATACAGAAAACAATGAGAAATAAATATAAATGACTAATTTTAATGATAAATGAGCATTATATACCTTTATTGAAGACTCTTGTTGGTGAGTAGTATTTATTTGTAGTCACAGGCGGACTACATCCCAGGTGTATACCTACTGGCTACGTACACTGCCGCCTACAGCCATATTATTACCATTGACATATCATGTTCACTGAGTTTGATCGTTGCTAACAACTACCTTTAGATGCCATCATGAACAAAGGAAGAAGTGATGAATAATTCATGCTGAGAATTGTAAAGAAAATCCAACGCAGATTCATACACATTTTCTCTGAAGCCAACGCAGATTCATACACGTTTTCTTTGATGCCAGACCAGAGAAGATGTAATGTTTACCCTCCACCAACCCCTTGATAGCATATAAACATTGCATATTTATATGCTCCTAGGTAGTAGGTTGGTAGACAGCAACCGCCCAGGAAGGTACTGCCGTCCTGCCAAGTGAGTGTAAAACGAAAGCCTGTAATTGTTTTACATGATGGTAGGATTACTGGTGTCCTTTTTTCTGTCTCATAAACATGCAAGATTTCAGGTACGTCTTGCTACTTCTACTTACACTTAGGTCTCACTATACTATACATACATACATATATATACACACACCCCTCTGGGTTTTCTGCTATTTTCTTTCTAGTTCTTGTTCTTGTTTATTTCCTCTTATCTCCATGGGGAAGTGGAACAGAATTCTTCCTCTGTAAGCCATGCGTGTCGTAAGAGGCGACTAAATTGCCGGGAGCAAGGGGCTAGTAACCCCTTCTCCTGTATAAATTACTAAATTTAAAAAAGAGAAACTTTCGTTTTTCTTTTTGGGCCACCCTGCCTCGGTGGGATACAACCGGTTTGTTGAAAGAAGTAGTTTATATGCTGTTAATTAATAAAAATATCTATGTTAACATAAAATAAGACATTTAATGTGCCCAAGAGTGATTACTATTATTACGTATTAGTATTATTACTATGGCGTTAAAACTAGAGGGGCACTCTTAGTATACGAGTAACAAAGGCATGTTTATATGCTATGTAATATGTTTCTTAGATAATTTTGAAGAAAACATTATAGATCGATTAATGAAAATGTCTAAATTAACGTAAAATAAGACATTTAATGTGTCCAAGAGTGAGTCACAAATGTATGAGCGGCCCAGGCAGACATGTCTGGTACCAATGATTTTCAAGCAGATATACGAAACCCAGGGGGAAATTTTGCCAAAAAAAGTGCTCAAAATCCAACTTGTGTGATTTCCACACTGAAAGAAAACTGGGGGTCCTCTGTATATATTTGAGCAATTGTTTATATTCATTTTATTTTATTTTTTACTTAAATTTTTTTATCCTTTTGCTCAATGGGGTATATACTGTATGTTCTTCATATATACATGTACTTGATAATGCTTTTATAGCCTAATATTGTGAAATTTATTTTTGTACATTTAAGACATTTTATTTAAATGAGGTTGAATTAAAGAAACTAAATGTTTCAAACATTTTTACTACTTTAAATGTGGATGTACAGTGCTCTTCATTAAAATATCCCAGGTGGCTCACACCAGCATACTTTATTGTTGAAAGTAACACCTGATCCTGTTAGGTGGTTTGGAGTGACAGAAATTTAGGAAATTTTGAAGAGAAGTTGCTAAGGTTGGTAGATATGTAAAAGAAGGAAATTAAAAGTGAACATAGGAAAGAGCAAGGTCAGAGTAACAAAAAAAATTTAGGTACTGAAAGACTGGACATCAGATTGGAAAGATGGAGTATTCAGGAAAGGAATGTGTTCAGATATTTAGAAGTGGACTTGTCAGCAGACAGGTCTACGAAAGATAAGGTGAACCATAGAATTAACAAAGGAAAAAGATGAGGGGTGCATTGAGGTGTCCGTGAAGACAAAGAACCATGTCCATAGAGGGAATAAGGGGAATATGCCAGATTATAGTGGTACTAATACTCATATGGGTGTGAAGTATGGGTTTTAGGTGTTGCAGTTAAGAGGAAGCTGGAGGCAGTGGAGATGTGCCTGTGAACAGTGTATAGTGTGAATATTAAGCAGAGAATTCTAGTTTGGAGATTAGAAGGAAGTGTGGGGTTACTAATAATAATATCCAGAGGGCTGATGTGGTGTTATTGAGTTAGTCTGGACATTTAGAGAGGATATATAAATTTGTAGCAGAGGGAAGAACAGGTAGGACATGTCCTAGGAAAGGTTGAAGGGAGGGGGGAGGTGAAGGAGGTTTTTGTATGCAAAGGGCTTGGATATCCAGCAGGTATGTGAGAGCATGTTAGATAGGAGCAAGTGGAGGCAAGTGGTTTTCATGACTTGACTTGCTGTTGGAGTGTAAGGAAGGTAACATTTATGAAGGGATTCAGAGAAACTGGTTAGCTGGACCTGAGTCCTGGAGGTGGGAAGTACAGTGCCTGCGCTTTGAAGGAGGGGTGAGAATATTGCAGTTTGGAGGGGCATTATAGCTGTAATGTCAGAACATCCTGCCTCAGTGGGAAACCACTGGCATGGTAAAAAAAAAAAAGCTAGGGATAGTACATAATTATCATATGATTCACCCACCCATCTCACAGACCCTTGAAGGCCATAGTGTGAGTGTTCTACGACTCTCTTGGGTGTCTGAAGGACAGCAAATACTTTCCACTGGGTCAGATGGACTTCTTAAATTATGGACAGTAAAGAGCCGTCAGTGCATACAAACATTTGATGAGCATGAAGACAAGGCTTGGGCCATAGCAGTGTCGGAGAATGAGACGAAGGTTGTGACTGGTGGGGAGGATGCCACACTGGTTCTCTGGAAAGATGTTACGCAAGAAGAAAAAGATAAAGCTTTAGAGGAAGCTGCCAGGTATGATAAATAATAATCTTGATTTTTTCCTTGCGTAGTATTTTGGTTTATATATGAAAATATTCAGTGGTTTTTCTATATTACTAGGATAGCTCTACTCCTCATTATGAATGTGACATGAAAGCATCGCATCTCATTCATAATGTGAAAGCACACAACATCATGGGTCACCGTCCCATGTCTTGTTAGCCATAGCCATCAAGCTGTATTGACAGCTACATACACATATGCAATTCATTTTGCCTTTCCTTACCTCTGTGATGGTTGTTTTTCCTGTGCTGTTGAATGTAGCAGTCAACAAGGTGATAAGCAAAATTTAACATTCTGCAGGTTCCCCAAGTATTTTGAAAGATGAAAACCTTAGATTTCTGCTATGAAGTGGAATGACAGGAAGTCAGTAATTATTTGCTGTCCTAATTGTTGTAATTGCAGTATCCTTGTTGTTGTATTCTAATTGTTGTAATTGTAGCATACTAATTGTAACTTTAGTATCCTAATGTTCAACTATAATGTCAGAATTGCAAATCATGCATGTAAAAATTACACTGTAATTCTGAACTTATTATCCAAATCAAATTTGATAATCTAGAAATCTGTGCAGTTTGGGAGGTTTGGTAGCAGTTAACTAGGTTTACAAAGGCCTTAAATATATGCAGGTAACACTGTAAAAACTAGCAATATTATTCTTATAGACATTGAGTGAAATTATCCTGCTTAACCTAAACTAGCAAAACTATGACAAGTGACATCATATGGTGTTTAGTGCCTAACCCAGGATATTGTAATTAGTACAACTTAAACAATAATAATTAATTACCCCCTAGTGGTAGTAAGTTTGCAAGCAAGAAAAACAGCACAAGAAATGCACAGAATGAAATGCCTTATTTTCTTAAAAATCACTCTTTCTTTCAACACACCGGCCGTATCCCACTGAGGCGGGGTGGCCCAAAAGGAAAAACGAAAGTTTCTCCTTTTACATTTAGTAATATATACAGGAGAAGAGGTTACTAGCCCCTTGCTCCAGGCATTTTAGTCGCCTCCTACAACACGCATGGCTTATGGAGGAAGAATTCTGTTCCACTTCCCCATGGAGGTTAGAGAAAATAAACAAGAACAAGAACTAGTAAGAAAATAGAAGAAAACCCAGAGGGGTGTGTATATATATATGCTTGTATGTGTAGTGTGACCTAAGTGTAAGTAGAAGTAGGAAGACGTACCTGAAACCTTGCATGTTTATGAGACAGAAAAAATGGACACCAGTAATCCTACTATCTTTCTTTCTTTCTTTCAACACACCGGCCGTATCCCACCGAGGCGGGGTGGCCCAAAAGGAAAAACGAAAGTTTCTCCTTTTACATTTAGTAATATATACAGGAGAAGAGGTTACTAGCCCCTTGCTCCGGCATTTTAGTTGCTCTTACAACAGCTGGTCTTACGGAGGAAGAATCTGTTCCACTTCCCCATGGAGATAAGAGGAAATAAACAAGAATAAGAACTAGAAAGAAAATAGAAGTAAAACCCAGAGGGGTGTGTATATATGTGCTTGTACATGTATGTGTAGTGTGACCTAAGTGTAAGTAGAAGTAGGAAGACGTACCTGAAACCTTGCATGTTTATGAGACAGAAAAAATGGACACCAGTAATCCTACTATCATGTAAAACAATTACTGGGTTTTGTTTTACACTAAAAATCACTCTATCAATACAAAATAAGTTATTATCCATATCCTCCCTTGACCAGCCTGACCTGCTCAGTGTACTGGTCTGTAACAGTGAAGTGTAGCTTCACTTGAATTTTCAGCCTCGTAAATTAAACAGCTCCACAACAGAGTTCAGCTGATCCTGAAGATGGCTTGTTTCATTTGAGTGCAAAACAAGTGCTTGGATGGTCTTCAAGTGCATGATAAACTCACAACACCTTACAATGTTGGAATTTATCACATATGGTTATTATACAAGTTCACTTGACATGACGTCAGGTGTATCTGACAAGTGTAATGTCCCCTGATTGCAAAACTGAAGATATATTGTACCTTTTTAAATTTATGTCATTGTATATGACCTCCTTTTATCATTGTTATATACTTTTTTATGTACAGTATTTTAGTTTTTTTGTCAAAACAATTTCAGAATTGTCACCATACAAACTCTACGTCTCTCTTTTGTCAGTTCCCAGTGCCTTATGATATCATTTAAGATTAATTAGATGTGAAAATCCTGGTCTTCTGAATTGATTATCTTCATTAAGGAGGTATTGACTGTATGACTAACATCCAGGACCAGCAAGGAGAATTTTTTTTTTTTTTTTTTTTATTATCACACTGGCCGATTCCCACCAAGGCAGGGTGGCCCGAAAAAGAAAAACTTTCACCATCATTCACTCCATCACTGTCTTGCCAGAAGGGTGCTTTACACTTCAGTTTTTAACCTGCAACATTAACACCCCTCCTTCAGAGTGCAGGCACTGTACTTCCCATCTCCAGGACTCAAGTCCGGCCTGCCGGTTTCCCTGAACCCCTTCATAAATGTTACTTTGCTCACACTCCAACAGCACGTCAAGCATTAAAAACCATTTGTCTCCATTCACTCCTGTCAAACACGCTCAGCATGCCTGCTGGAAGTCCAAGCCCCTCGCACACAAAACCTCCTTTACCCCTCTCTCCAACCTTTCCTAGGCTGACCCCTAACCCCGCCTTCCTTCCACTACAGACTGATGCACTCTTGAAGTCATTCTGTTTCGCTCCATTCTCTTACATGTCCGAACCACCTCAACAACCCTTCCTCAGCCCTCTGGACAACAGTTTTGGTAATCCGCACCTCCTCCTAACTTCCAAACTACGAATTCTCTGCATTATATTCACACCACACATTGCCCTCAGACATGACATCTCCACTGCCTCCAGCCTTCTCCTCGCTGCAACATTCATCACCCATGCTTCACACCCATATAAGAGCGTTGGTAAAACTATACTCTCATACATTCCCCTCTTTGCCTCCAAGGACAAAGTTCTTTGTCTCCACAGACTCCTAGGTGCACTACTCACTCTTTTCCCCTCATCAATTCTATGATTCACCTCATCTTTCATAGACCCATCCGCTGACATGTCCACTCCCAAATATCTGAATACATTCACCTCCTCCACACACTCTCCCTCCAGCAAGCAGAAATCTTCATCAAATGTTATTGAATTTCTTGTGTGTCAGTACAGGAGGGCCCCGCTTTACGGCGTTTCACTTTACGGCGTTCCGCTAATACAGTCATTTCAAATTATGACCAAAACTCGCTATACGGCTCCCCCCACCTGACTTTCTAATACGGCCACCGCGCCCCACCCTGTTTGTTTACATTCTTCGTGAGCTCAGTAAGCACTACGTCTCTCCATTTTGTCTGGAAACTCCAAAATTTCAAATGTTTTTAAAAGTTATTTCATTTTTATATATACTCTGATAATTATACTTATGTATACCTGTACTTAAATAAACTTACATACTGTGCTGGCGTGCAGGTACACATTAAAATCAGTAAGAGTGTCTTATGTCTCCAGACGTCATATTAGTAATGATAATAATAATCATCGAGTCTCATTTAAATGTCGTATATTACGTTAAATACACATTTTCATTAATCCATCTATGATATTTTTTCAAAATTATATAATAAACACGATACATAACATAAAAAGATGTTAAATACACCCCACAATAGAATAAATAAACATAAATATGAGATGTGGTAGCAGACTTGCACAAGTGACGCCATATTAGAAATGATAATAATAATAATAATCACCGAGTCTCATTAAATGTTGTATATTCCGTTAATATACACATTTTCATTAATCCATCCATGATATTTTTTTCAAAATTATATGATAAACATGATACATAATATAAAAAGATGATAAATACACCCTACAATAGAATAAATAAACATAAATATGAGATGTGGTAGCCAGATAACTTGTACAAGTGATGCCAAGAATAACATTTTCTCTAATCTAACATAAGAGAAAATGTGTTACTGGGGGTAACTGTAGAAAATTATTCCTTTTGTATGTATGTAAGTAAGTTTATTCAGGTATACACAAATACAGTTACATAGATTATCATACATAACAACATATGTGTAGAGAACCTAGGATAACCCAAAAAAGTCAGAGTGACTTATTTCCATTGCCTTCACTCAGAGCATCATTTCTTCTCAAAATGATGTTACATGAGAATGGGAGTGTTCTTCTTTATTTATTCTACCATATCAATGTAGAGACAACCTGTACACAATGTAACTTGTACACAAACCAGACGTGTACACTTCGTTTACAAAACTTACCTTCGCCTGGTTTGTTTACATAACTCTCTGCGCCTGTCCTCTCTCATGCACTCATTCTTTCTCTCTCTCATTTATTCGTTTTATCTCATTTACTTACTCCTGACCCTACATTAAGACTACAAATATTTTAAGGTAAGTAATGAGTGAACTGTATATACATTTTATCGCTCTGGGATGCTTAAATGTAATAGATATATTATGTGTAGGTGGGTTGGCCTGGTATGTAGCCCGGCTGACTACCATACATACCACACTTGATTTTTTACAATAAATACTACTCATCTCACCCTTATTTTAAGGTAAGTAATGAGTGAACTGTATATACATTTTATCACTCTGGGATGCTTAAATATCATAGAAGTGTATGTGTGGGTGGGGTGGCCTGGTATGGTAGCCTGGCTGACTACCATACATACCACACTTGATTTCTTACAATAAATACTACTTGTCTCACCGTAGATTAAGACTATAAATATTTTAAGGTAAGTAATGAGTGCACTATGTGTGTATTGTACTTTTTTATTGTTTTTTGATGCCTGGTTCTATTGCTAACTTAATATATGTTAGTGTAAACTTGTTATCTAGTGTTTGTATGCATTTGTAAGTGGAAAAAAAGGGTGCTCCACTTTACGGCGGTTTCCGCTTTATGGCGGTAGCCTGGAACCTAACCAGCCGTATAAGTGGGGCCTTCCTGTATTATCTTTTTTTTTCTCTACAGACTGGCTGCAGAAGAACAAACACTGTCCAATCTCATCAAAGATAAGAAGTGGGCCAAAGCCTTTGGGATTGCAGTGCGTCTTGATCAACCTTTTCGTGCCCTGAATGTCATGAAAGCATTATTAGATGATTGCCCAGATCAGCTAACTGACATCCTAAGTAAGCTAAGGCAGGATCAAGTAGCATCACTATTAGGATATGCTGCTATGTGGAACACCAAGACAAAACATTCTCGTGAAGCTCAGGTATGAGAATAGTATGTTTACCTTTTCTTTTGTTTTTTGGTAGCAGGTAGGGATGTATTCAATGTGTCTCTTCTGGTCTAGAGCTGTTGTTTGGACAAACTATCTTTTTTTTTTTTAACAAGTCGGCCGTCTCCCACTGAGGCAGGGTGACCCAAAAAGAAAGAAAATCCCCAAAAAGAAAATACTTTCACCTCACTCACACATAATCACTGTTTTTGCAGAGGTGCTCAGAATACAACAGTTTAGAAGTATATATGTATAAAGATACACAACATATCCCTCCAAACTGCCAATATCCCAAACCCCTTCTTTAAAGTGCATGGATTTTACTCCCCGTTTCCAGGACTCAAGTCCAGCTATATAAAATAACCAGTTTCCCTGAATCCCTTCACTAAATATTACCCTGCTCACACTCCAACAGCTCGTCAGGTCCAAAATACCATTTGTCTACGTTCACTCCTATCTAACACGCTCACGCACACTTGCTGGAAGTCCAAGCCCTTTGTCCACAAAACCTCTTTTACCCCCTCCCTCCAACCTTTTCGAGGACAACCCCTACCCCGCCTTCCTTTCCCTACAGATTTATACGCTCTCCATGTCATTCTACTTTGATCCATTCTCTCTGAATGAACCAAACCACCTCAACAACCCCTCTTCAGCCCTCTGACTAATACTTTTATTAACTCTACACCTCCTAATTTCCACACTGCGAATTTTCTGCATAATATTTACACCACATATTGCCCTTAGACAGGACATCTCCACTGCCTCCATCCGCCTCCTTGCTGCAGCATTTACAACCCAAGCTTCACACCCACATAAGAGTGTTGGTACTACTATACTTTCATACATTCCCTTCTTTGCCTCCATAGATAACATTTTTTGTCTCCACATATACCTCAATGCACCACTCAACTTTTCTCCTTCATCAATATTATGATTAACCTCATCCTTCATAAATCCATCCGCTGACACGTCAACTCCCAAATATCTGAAAACATTCACTTCTTCCATACTCCTTCTCCCCAATTTAATATCCAATTTTTCTTTATCTAAATCATTTGATACCCTCATCACCTTACTCTTTTCTCTGTTCACTTTCAATTTTCTACCTTTACACACACACCCAAATTCGTCCACTAACCTTTGCAATTTTTCTTTAGAATTTCCCATAAGCACTGTATCATCAGCAAAAAATAACTGTGTCAATTCCCATTTTGTATTTAATTCCCCATAATTTAATCCCACCCCTCTCCCGAACACCCTAGCATTTACTTCTTTTATGACCCCATCTATAAATACATTAAACAACCATGGTGACATTACACATCCCTTTCTAAGACCTACTTTTACCGGGAAGTAGTCTCCCTCTCTTCTACATACCCTAACCTGAGCCTCACTATCCTCATAAAAACTCTTTACAGAATTTAGTAACTTACCACCTATTCCATATACTTGCAACATCTGCCACATTGCTCCTCTATCCACTCTATCATATGCCTTTTCTAAATCCATAAATGCAATAAAAACTTCCCTACCTTCATCTAAATACTGTTCACATATATGCTTCAATGTAAAGACTTGATCCACACATCCCCTACCCACTCTAAAACCTCCTTGCTTATCTGCAATTCTACATTCTGTCTTACCTCTAATTCTTTCAATAATAGCCCTACCATACACTTTTTCTGGTATACTCAGTAAGCTACTACTTCTTTCAACACACCGGCCGTATCCCACCGAGGTGTGGAGTGGCCCAAAAGGAGAAATGAAAGTTTCTCCTTTTACATTTAGTAATATATCAGGAGAAGGGCTACTAGCCCCTTGCTCCTGGCATTTTAGTCGCCTCTTACAACACGCATGGCTTACGGAGGAAGAATTCTGTTCCACTTCCCCATGGAGGTAAGAGGAAATAAACAAGAGCAAGAAGAAAACTCAAAGGTGTGTATATATATGCTTGTACATGTATGTGCTCCCACCCTCCTATAACCACAAACTTCTGCCCCACATTCTAATACTGCATTTTTAAAACTATTCCAACCCTCTTCAACCCCCCCACTACTCATCTTTGCACTAGCCCACCTTTCTGCCAATAGTCGCTTATATCTCACCCGAACTTCCCTCCTCCCTTAGTTTTACACTTTCATCCTCCTCTTACTTGTTGTTGCCACCTTCCTCTTTTCCCATCTACCTCTTACTCTAACTGTAGCTACAACTAAATAATGATCCGATATATCAGTTGCCCCTCTATAAACATGTACATCCTGGAGCCTACCCATCAACCTTTTATCCACCAATACATAATCTAATAAACTACTTTCATTACGTGCTACATCATACCTTGTATATTTATTTATCCTATTTTTCATAAAATATGTATTACTTATTACCAAATTTCTTTCTACACATAGCTCAATTAAAGGCTCCCCATTTACATTTACCCCTGGCACCCCAAATTTACCTACTACTCCCTCCATAACATTTTTTACCCACTTTAGCATTGAAATCCCCAACCACCATTACTCTCACACTTGATTCAAAACTCCCCACGCATTCACTCAACATTTCCCAAAATCTCTCTCTCTCCACTACACTTCTCTCTTCTCCAGGGGCATACACGCTTATTATAACCCACTTTTCATATCCAATCTTTATTTTACTCCACATAATCCTTGAATTAATACATTTATAGTCCCTCTTTTCCTGCCATAGCTTATCCTTCAACATTATTGCTACTCCTTCTTTAGCTCTAACTCTATTTGAAACCCCTGACCTAATCCCATTTATTCCTCTCCACGAAACTCTCCCACCCCCTTCAGCTTTGTTTCACTTAAAGCCAGGACATCCAGCTTCTTCTCATTCATAACATCCACAATCATCTCTTTCTTATCATCTGCACAACATCCACGCACATTCAGACTTCCCACTTTGACAATTTTCTTCTTATTATTCTTTTTAATAATCTTTACAGGAAAAGGGGTTACTAGCCCATTGTTCCCGGCATTTTAGTTGACTTTTACAACACGCATGGCTTACGGAGGAAAGATTCTTATTCCACTTCCCCATGGATATAAAAGGAAAATTAATAAGACCAAGAACTATTAAGATAAAATCAAAGAAAACTCAGATGAGTGTGTATAAATAAATGTGTACATGTATGTGTAGTGTGACCTAAGTGTAAGTAGAAGTAGCAAGACATGCCTGTAATCTTGCATATTTATGAGACAGACAAAAGACATCAGCAATCCTACCATCATGTAAAAACAATCACAGGCTTTCGTTTTACACTCACTTGGCAGGAGGGTAGTACCTCCCTGGGTGGTTGCTGTCTACCAATTGGTGGAATGATGAAGTAAAGGGTGTGATAAAAGAGAAAAAGGTAGCTTACGAGAGGTTTTTACAAAGCAGAAGTGTTATAAGAAGAGCAGAGTATATGGAGAGTAAAAGAAGGTAAAGAGAGTGGTGCATGAGAGATGCAAAAGGAGAGCAGATGATAGAGTGGGAAAAGGCACTGTCAAGAAATTTTAATGAAAATAAAAAAAAATTTTGGAGTGAGTTAAACAAGTTAAGTAAAGCCTAGGGAAATATGGATTTGTCAGTTAAAAACAGAGTAGGGGAGTTTAGTAGATGGGGAGATGGAGGTATTGGGTAGATGGCGAGAATATTTTGGGAACTTTTAAATGTTAAGGGGAAAAGAAAACAGAAGCAGTAATTTCATGCATGGTCAGGAGGTATCCATTTTTGGGAGTGAAGAAGAGCGAATGAAAGTGTGGGGGAGGTCGGAGGATTCCCGAAAAAATAAAAGGGGGGTTTAAAGCAGCTGGAATGATGGGATCATGACAAAAAATGTTAAAAGCAGGGGGGGATATGTTTGGGGGGTGGTTGGTACTTTTGTTTAATAAATGAGAAAGGGGGGGAAGGTACCTAGGGATTGGCGGAGGCATGTTAGCCCTTTTATATAAAGGGAAAGGGGGACAAAAGGACTGTAAAAATTATAGGGGAAATAAGCTTACTGAGTATAAAAAAAAAGTGTTCGGTTTTAGGGTTAAAATTTTGAAAAAATTTAGAGGTAAGACAGAATGTAGGATTGGGATGAGCAAGGAGGTTTCAGAGGGGTGGGGGATGTGTAGATCAAATGTTTTTTCTTGAAGCATTATGTGAACGTATTTAGATAAAGGTAGGGAAGTTTTTATTGATTTATGGATTTGAAAAAGGGATATGTAGAGTGGGTAGAGGAGCAATGTGGCAGATGTGCAAGTATATGGAATAGGTGGAAGTTATTAAATGTGTAAAGAGTTTTTTGAGGATTTGAGGGTCAGGTTAGGGTTGTAAAGTAGGTCTTAGACGGGTTTTGTAATGTCACCAGGTTTTTTAATATATTTTTGTGGGGTTGTAAAGGGAAATAAATGCTAGGGTGTTCGTGAGAGGGGGGGGATTAAATTTTGGGGATCAAATTCAAAATGGGGAAATTTACCGTTTTTTTGCTATGATCTGTGTTATAGGAGTTCTAAAGAAAAAATTGAATGGGTTTTTGAGTTTGGGAAAATTTTAAGGGAGAAGTTTAAAATGAACATAGAAAAGGTAAGGTGATGAGGGTGTCAAATGATTTGATAAAGAAAAATTGGATATAAATTGGGGAGGAGGAGTATGGAAGAATGGAAAGTTTTGATACTTGGGAGTTGACGTGTCGGGAGATGGATTTTTGAAGGATGGGTTAATCATAGAAGGGGGTGGGGGGAAAAAAGGGGTGAGTGGTGGTTGGGTATATGTGGAGTCAAAAAATGTTATCTATGGGGGCAAAGAAGGGAATGTATGAAAGTATAGTAGTACCAACATTTTATGGGTGTGAAACTTGGGTGGTAAAAGCAGCAGCGAGGAGGAGTTGGAGGCAGTGGGGATGGTTTGGTCATTTAGAGAGATGATCAAAGTAGAATGACATGGAAAGCATATAAATCTATAGGGGAAGGGAGGAGGGTGTAGGGGTCGTCCTCGAAAGGGTT